TTCCCCACTGTTCTGAAAACTGGTTAGAGAGGAGGAGCAGCTCCGAGGGCCCCAGCTCTTATCTGGCAGCGGGAGGCAGATAGGGCAGTGCAGCTCCAGGCGCCAGGCAAGCCTCACCTGGCTATTTATGGGGCCGAAATTCAAAGTGTAAGTATGTGCACGGCTGTCACCAGGCCTGGGGGGCAGTGAGGGGGTTTGGGAAGAGGGAGGAGCAGCCCTGCCCCTGCAGCCCCTGCTGTCAACTTCTGCCCCAGCTCCTCGAGAGAGGCAAGAGGAGCCTCGTCATGGCTTCCCTGGTACCTTTATTTTTAAGCACCTTCCACCAGATGTTAAACTGGCCTGAAAAGTCCCTCTTGATTTAGGCAGATGCAGAGAAACAATCGACTTCTGCAAAATTTGTTTTGGCTTTTGCAAAGTTTTTGGCACGGCTTCCACACCAGTTGGTTTTCCTGTGCGGGGTGTTTGGTGGTTATTTACCTTGGGGAAGGTGGGGGAGCAGGGCTGGGCACTGCTGCCTTGGCTGCCTGGCCGTGCTGCTGCATCCTCAGCTGCTGGATGTCCTCTGCTCTGTCCCCAGCCATGCCCGAGCCTGTCCATGCCTACTCCTGCCCACTCTTCTGGACTGAGTACGAAGGCCATTGCTACCGGTACTTCCCCATCAACAAAACTTGGGCTGAAGCTGACCTCTATTGCGCTGAGTTCTCCATTGGCATCAGATCAGCCAAGCTGGCCTCCATCCACAGGTGAGGAGCGCAGAAACTTGTCTTCCCACCCTGGCATGGTCTGGGGAAGAAGGAAAATGGGCATGAAGTCCCATTCCCACAGCACAAGCTCTGTGCCAGCATATTGAGCATCCCTCTGCAGCAGCAACCAGGTTAAATCTGATGCACTGGGCACACAGAGTAGATATAAGTTCCCTGACTTTTACTGAGCTGGCAGGAAATTTGACATAGTACTGCCTAAATTCCCCAAAGCTGCATTTTTTTTACTCTTGGAAAAGTGGTAGAAATAGAACATGATTACAGGCGTTTTCCCCCTCAGTCCCTCTCCCCCAGCTTTTGCCCTCACTCTGCCCCTCTTGCACAGACCCAGCAAAGTAATCAACAGCAATTAGAAGAGGGGACCCATTTGTCCACGCAGCAGGACGAATGCTTAGGGGCATGTCTGACCATTTGCCTGACGTACCTCCTCAGTGGCTCCATATTGCTCTGTTTTGCCAGCTGGGAAGAAAACGTCTTCGTGTATGACCTGGTGAACAGCCGTGTGCCGGGCATCCCCACCGACATCTGGACGGGGCTTAACGACCTGCGGCAGGTGAGAGCTCCCCCTAATCGTGTGGGAAATGGCTTTGAAAAATTCACTTCCCTGCTTTTTTGCCCTGGAAAGCCACTTAGGTTTTCTTCTTTGCTCCTTATAGTCCCATTAATCAGGTGGCAGCATAGGGTCTGTTGCGCAGCACCTGTGGGGAAGTTGTCATTTCATCCCCTCCAGTCTGCTTTTAAAAGAAAAGTGTTAATAGAATTAACAGATAATTACTAATTATTCCCATTGTATTTTATTAATGGATTAATAGGAAAGGCGTTGTACTGCTGGTCCAAGAAGAGCAAATAAACTGAAAATGCCTCCAATGTCAAAAACCACCAAGCTTCATTGCTTTTTTGTGATGCTCTGCAACTTTTCAAAGCTGACACATTGAAAATAGATAGTCTAATATGTAACAAAGAAAAATCGAGACCATCAGGACAATAGTCCCATGCCAGCAAACTTTTTGTAGATATCGGGAAAGGAATAAAAAAGAAAAAAGGAAAAGGAACACAGAATTGGCTGGGTGTTTTAAAGAATATATGGGTTTAATTTCTGGGCTTCCCCTGGTGCGAATGCCGCGAATGCTGTGGCTTTCCAGGGTAAGTTTTCAGGCTGTTTGGCCTTTGCTAAGCGGTGAGAGTGTCTCCTCATGTCCCTGGGATGTGGCACCAGGGCCGGGATCTACGTGGGAGTGGGACTCCCCTCTGCAAACAGAGCTCTGTGACCGTGGCCTCTCTCCACTCGCCCCACACCAGGAGGGTCACTTCGAGTGGACGGACGGTTCCTCCTACGACTACCACTACTGGGATGGCAGCCAGCCCGACGACGGGATCCACTCCATCCCGGAGGGGGAGGACTGTGTGCAGATGTGGTACCGGCACAGCAGCGGTGAGTGCTGCCGCGAGGGCGCCTGAACTCCTATTTGCTGGTTGATAAATTCAAACCCCTGCAGCTCGTGCTTTTCTGAAGAGGTTGCTGGCAGGCTGAGGATTTGCATTTTATTTTTTCATTATTATTTTCTTTTTTGTTTGCAGAAAAGGGATGTGTTTTCTCTTTCACCACATATGTATACACAACTTTCCCTTCACTCTCAGCCTGTCTTCCTCTCTCGCAGCAGCAGCGGCAGGAGGGGAACACCATCCATTTTAAGCATTACTAAATTTAGCCAGAGGTCTAAGTTTCCAATTTCCTCTCCCACACACAGCCTGTGGAAAGACCTCTCAGTTTGCCAGCTTTTCCCTCCCTTGCTCAGGCCAGGGCATTGTGCTGAAGCAGGGCAAGACCCTGCTTGTGCAAAAATCCCACTTCACACCCTCAACTCCAGTGGGACTCGTCAGGTGTATCCAGACCCTGTGGACATACCTAAACACCCAGTCAACGTATGACCTGCTGATATTTTGTGCTGTACGGGGCTGTGTTTGCAGCTCCCTCTCTGCTCCCAAAATCGAGTTGGGTCCAGGCATCCTCACCAGCATCCCCTGGATGGGGATGGGGAATGCTGAGAGCGGGCACGGCTGGGAGCAGCCCAAATGGGAGGACATTCAGGGAAAGCTTTTCACAGTGGCAGGAGGTCCCAGTCCTGAGGACAGTGCATAGTTAACCTTCTCATGCCTTTTTTCAGCTAATGCCTTGTTTTTTTTCCGGGGGGGCTGGGGGGTGGGTAGCACTGCGCTCCTGGAACGACAACACCTGCAGCAGAGCCTTCCCCTTCGTCTGCAAGATCCCTTCGCTGGCCCTGGACTGAGGCTCCTGGCGCTGCCTGTGCCCACCTCATTTTTGGGTGATTTCTCCAGCCATGCTGGGGTTGAGCGGCCAGGACATGCCTCGAGTGGTAATCGTGGCCAGACTCCGGCTGCAAAACCCCTCCTGGGAATGCCATGGGGATGAACCCTCCCCACGGGCAAATGGTGGTGGGAGATGTGTTAAACAGCGAAGGAGCTCCCCAAGCCTGAGCCTGACTTTGGGTTTCAGATCAACTATCACAGCATATTAGAAGAAGCCCATGATTTTACCAATGCACCAAACTCTTAGCACTAAAAACTAGCCATATGTAGGAAAGAGTTTTGCCCATTGACATGCGAAGAGTGGAGGAGAAGTGTTATTTTCTGTTAAGTTATGCAAAATGCCTCTTGTGCCTGTTATTTTTCTCTCTGCCAAAATAAACAACAAACAGCAAGTGGAGGCTCCTCCGTCTTTCTAGCGCTCGAGTGGCAGTGACTCCCCAGGGACAGGCGTCTTGTGCAAAAGGAGCTGATTTTACCCCAATCGGCTCTGCCTTAAAAGGGTGTCTTGGAGGGAGGAAGTGAGTGCCTGGAGAAGTTTATTTTATTGACCCCGACTGGTTCTGGGGGTCCTTGGGGCAGCCTGTGTGCACACTCCACCCTCCTCCCTGGCATCACCATGGGGGGTGTGAGCAGCCCCCACATCCGCACAGCATCCCTGCCCACAGCAGCCGAGCTGGGCTTGGCCCCAGCTGCTTTGGACTGACCAAATTACAAGGAGGGGCTGACGCACATCAGCTGAAGGTCAGCCTACCCTCATAAGCCACTCCTGGGTGGGAAAAGCTTGCAGCTTTTAGGGTCGCTGTATTTCCTAGTGAGACGATGCTCTTTCCTGCAGTTGTTGCTGATGTCTTCCTGTTCTTCTCTGGCACCGCAGAAGTACATTTATCTTTCAGGGAAATCATTTTTGGGAAGGTGAGTATGGTTGTGGCAGCCCCAGTTGCTCGTCAGGAAGATGGGAGCCTCCTCCTTGCGTGTGGGTGAGTTTGCAGAGCTCGGGTGCAAGTGGAGCTGTGATGGTGTCAGGGCCCGCGGGAAGGGCAGTGCTCTTGCGGCAAAAACATGCTGCTCCTTTAGGGGACACGGCTGCCAGGGCACTACTGGACCCAGCCAAATGCAATAAACCCAGTGCTCCCTGGAGAACCCCTGTGGTGTGACTGCCAGCCCCATGGCACCCAGGTGGCTTTGCCAGAAGCCCTGTGCAGAAGGGGCTGCCACCTCCTCCAGCCCCTTGCCCTCTCTCAGGAGTGATGTGTCCCATTTGTCCTTGCTCCAGCAAATTCCCAGGGTCTCAGAACACCAAAGCAGCAGGCACAGCCCTAGGCTGCCTTGTCTCAGCAGCTTCAAAGATGAGTAAAAACATCTTCATAAAATTGTCTGGTCTCCCTTGATATCACTACTTTAGAAACAAAAAATTTCAAAACTATGACTTTCCACTGGATAAAATGAGGTAAATAGCTGAGGCTCCGCTGGGAGCTTGTAACTGCTTCCTTGGGTGTCTGCTCAGCCTTCAGCTAAAATACATTTCCATTTGGAGAGAAACTGCAAATCTTGGTGGGGATAACAGTGATGGTGCAAACAGCACATGTGTGTCAGAGCAGGTTCCTAAAATAAGGAAATACTATCATCCCTGATTATATACTTTTATATATAAAGAGATAATACATATAAATATAACTATGTTATTTTTATATGATTTTATATGTATATGTGTGTATATGCATACTGTCCATGGAAAGTAAGCAATTTGTATAGTTTTCAATCCTGGGCAGGAGACAGCATTGAATCTGGTTTCTTGAGGCTTTTGCTTCATCATGAAATGGTAAATTACACCTAAACCGTAACAGTGTGTAAAGAAGTCAGCTGTAAAAGAAGCAGCTCTTCTTGGATCCAACATGCTAACAAAACGTTGACATGTAGGATCTGATCTGTGGCAGAAAAAGAGCTTGAGGAACCATTTTTATTCCCAGTTTCTTCTCCTTGTTCCTCTCACGTCCCCTTTTCAGACAAGCCTGGAGTTCATCCCGGTTAGGGCTCAGTATACCTTGAGCCAAAAAACTCTTTTTTTTCCCCCCTACAAATGGCATGAGATATTTCAAATGAAAGGTTAAAACCTTCCCTTTGGAAAGTGTTTGAAGACTTAGATCCTACTGTGGCTAAAAATATTGCTAATGGGAAAACCTATGAAAGCTGTCAGCTCTAATTAACATCTTCATTTCCACATAAAAACAACTGAACATTCCTGACCTGAAAGTCAGGACCGAAGTTAAAAGGGGTTTTGTTTTGCACACACCCTCTGGCTTTCTCCTCAGGATCCGGGGTTGTTACTTAAAAACCAGCCTTCATGGAATCACAGAATGTCAAGGGTTGGAAGGGACCTCAAAAGATCATCTAGTCCAGCCCCCCTGCCAGAGCAGGATCACCTACAGTAGATCGCACAAGAACGCGTCCAGATGGAGTTTGAATGTCTCCAAAGAAGGAGACTCCACAAACTCCCTGTGCAGCCTGTGCCAGGGCTCTGTCACCCTCATCGGGAAAAAGTTTTTCAAAATATTTTTGTGGAACCTCCTATGTTCCAGCTTGTAGCCATTGCCTCTTTTCCTGTCTCTCCTGACTAGTGTCTTCTGTTTCACAGTGATGAGGTAAGATTCAGACAACAGGATTTTTCACCTCCTTAATGAACTTCTAGTGGATCTGGAGATGTCAGTGCTCCATGGAAAATGGGATGTGCCCCCTCCCTCAGCACAGATAGTCCCAGATTTTGGGTAGCCAGGATGAGCCCCAGCTTTTCAAGCTCAGCTTTTTTGTCTGTCCCATAATCCCTAATTCCCCCATCATCCTGAATTTCTCCATCCTGATTTGCCATGTGGTGCAGGCAGTGGGAAAACCCACAGCACAGGACTCCCTCACGCCTCTCCTGAACCTCCCGTGCAGGTGACTGATGCCTGAGGGTCTTTTCACATTGCTGAGATTTTTGGAGCTGAACATCTTCCTTTGTAATACATGAAAGTGAGCAGTGTGTGATGTAGCCTGGCAGTGAACAAATATAATTGTCTATTAGTGACAAATGTCTTTATCTTCCTATACCCATTTTTTGGTCTCTACAGGCAATATTGCCCCCAGCCCCAGGCAGAGAGTGTCCCTGGCATGGCAGGTGGGAGAGATGGGCCTGCCTGCATCATCTGCCTTTTGATTCCTCTTTTCCCCTACTATTATTACTCTTTATTTCCTGAAATATGCTGCTGGATGTCTGGGGATGGGAGCTGCAAAGACAAGTGCTGCCAGCTGGCAGCCCAGCAATGATTTTACTCCCTGGTTTCTAATCGTGACAGCTCAGACCAGTGGGCTGGGCTGGGCTGTCCTTTCCTCTATTAATTCAGTGAGATTTTTCTTTCCCCTGAAAATTACTGGGAGGATCAGGCCTGCAGAGCTGAACTGTGAGCTTTTTCTTGTGCATCTCCTTCTCCCTGCCATGGTTTGCCTTGAAGAAACTCATTGCCTGAAAAAACTCATTGCCTAAGCAGTGGTGCAGCTCCTGCCCCGGGGCGAGAATGCTGCAAGGTGGGTCCCTTTCACAGAGAACAAAAATATCTTGAGGCCAAGAAGAAGGCTTCCAGCAGCTCAGTGAGTAAATTATAGACATTTACTAGCTGTGGCAGCGAGGTCCATCCCCAGAAAAAATCTAAACCCATTTGATAAACGACGTTACCTGTCAGTGTGATGGAGTTAGCATTAAACTTCTCCAGCTTTAGCGCAACCCAAACCTGTGAGGCAGGGAGAGACAGAGCAGCAGTGTGTGAGGAAGGCAGGCAGGATTTGACCCCGGGCTGTGCGGGTCCCGGGAGCTGTTGGCTGAACCGAGACATTCTTCCTGTTCTGCAGAAGGGTTTTCCCATCCCACCTCACGCCAGCTGCTCCCTGCTGCTGCTGGGGGAGGAGCGGGACGGTGGGAGCCAGCGGGGACAGACCTGCTGGGAATGGCATCTCCTGCCAGGCATAGCTGAGCCCAGCTGTCCTGAGACAGCAGGCTTTATAAACCGTGCAAGCTTCTGGTATGTGATGGCACCTGAATTAATTGGAAAAGCTCGGTGAAACTCGGAGCAGCACCAGATCCCCTCCAGAGAGACTTGCTGCTGCGGGGCTTCTCCAGCCCAGGGGACCCTGGGATGGGGCTGGCTCAGCCCTGGGGCTGCCTCATGCTGGCACCAGGGCCTATTTTGCTATGAATTGCTCCTTATCAATACCTCAAAAGTCTGCTCCCCATTTTGTGGCCAGGGATTTCCAGGCTTCCTGCAAAAACTGCCTTGGGGGTACTGCTGGCTGGGGGTTGGCAGCCCTGCACTGCTTTTGAGGCAGGGCTCCGAGGCACAGCCACCTGAAAAGTATGGTAAAGGCTTTTATTTGCTTTTCAGGGGCTTGCTAGCTTGGCTGGAATATTTGATTCCTGGGTGCAAACTGTCAGAGACACTGGTGACCAGAAGTAAAGCTCAGACTTAATGAAAGCCCAGTTCCTGATGTGGTTTCTGCTCCTAAAACAGTTCAGCTCTGAAGGTCACAGAGCCAAAGCGCAGGTGATTTGAGAGAGAAACAAATTGCAGCTGGCACCGTGATCGCCTGGAGTCAGTTAGCAAGGGTGGTGCTTTTCTGGGCAGATTGCTAAAGAGCTGGTACTCCCCAACAATACCTGGTTGCTGTCCCCCAGCGAGGTCCTGGGTGCCACGCTCCTGCTGCGTTGGCACAATGAGGCTGCGTCAGGTAATCTGCAAAATAGTCTAGTCCAGCTCTTGGGGTTCCCATGGCAACTGGATATTTGTTCATTTGTATTTCTTGAAAATTATGCTGGGTTGCTGATTGCATCGTTTGTGAAGCTCTTTGTCAGGAGGCTGATAGATCGTGGTTTGTCAGGGCTGTGACTGGTGCTGTTAATAAGCAGGTTTCTGAATGGGAGTCTTGCTGGAGTGTGGTGTGGGTTACAGCTGCATCCCTCCCA